CCCATCATTATAATATCAATATTATAATTAACAATTCCCAGCAGTTCCATGGTGGGTAGAGCGTAGAAAAAGTGTATTGCTTAATTAGGTAATAGTGTTGTGCTAACAATAATAGGAGTTTTGGGTTACATTCAAGCGTTACATTCAAAAGGTGAGTTTCGACGTTTTTTGTTCCTTATAGCAACTTATGACTTTCTGGTTCATAGAATTAGCTGCTGTTCTCTGTTGAATGGACAAATATGAATTGTTCAGCGTTTCTTTGCATAATAGTTGGTATTCTGTCAGATATCGAAGCAGATATAGTGCATGATAGAGCAGTATTTATGAGGTATGAAAAGGTGTTATTTTTGAGAAGATTGATTGTTTCTTGTGTAGAGAGTTAAGAGTATGATGCGATATTGATACTCTGAAGAGTTAAATGCTTTAAAGAAAAAGTCAAATGCTACTACATTGTATAATTTGATGTTTTCGGATAACTGTCTCATGTGATTATTTTTCAGTGCATTTTTATGCGTTTGTGCACATGAGACAATCTTCTTATTATTAGACAATCGTTTGATTGAAACAAATAAACGATTGTTTATTACTTCAGTCGTCTGTTTGTTTTTTAGCACACTGTCGTGACAGCCACTTCTCTTAATCAGTGTGAACTTCTCATCTTATCTAATGTGGTCATTTCTCATTTCTAGCCATCTGACCGATATCTGATTGTTCCTCTTAAATGCTATTGCTGACTTGCTAAGCGAATCTTACGAATTTGTCCCAGTAGCAAACATTGCAGCTGACAGACAATAAATATGATCCAATGTCTGCTTATGAATTGGATTTGTCATTTACTAATCGTTTGCCGTGGAATATTCAGCTGGAATGCGCCGAGCCTGGTCATAGGATGAAGGAACACGCGACCGTGACGATAGCTGGCCTGTACGGTGATATGCGTCCTGTGGTGGCGCGTTTCAAGAGGCCCACTCGTATATCGCCTAATGTACCGCACAGAGCATCGATTCAATTTAAGGTTGGGCTGATTTCAGCTGAAATGCTGCTCTAGTGTTAACTTGCGATATAGAAGGATTTATGTTCTGAAAAAACCCGGGGATTTGGGAATTTAATGAAAGTGTTGATAATTTAAGGAAGACGTCGAAACGTACGCAGGCGCGAATGGAGCCGAAGACATTCGTGTTCACATCGGGCAAGGAGGGGTGGGTGGTGCGCAGGAGACGTCTTCAGGCGCTGACGGGGATATGTTCGCGGCGGCGGCGGCCACTGACCCGTCAAGCATCGTACATTTTGCGTTCCACAACGACGATCCGAATGGGATTCGTCGTGGCATGACCCGAGGACCGGCCGTATTCACGAACGCCATCGGTGGCTTCTACAATCGACCGCAGCAGTATCGCCCGGTGCCGTCGATCAGTGAGGGTTGCCTCTACGAGGGACAAATCCCCGAGATCCACTTCTTGGCGCCAGCGCTTCCAAAACCAGAAGTAGCTGCTGCCACAACCACCACCACCATAAAGACTGATTAAGCTGTCTGATAGTGAGTAGTTTGAGTCGGATTATTTTGCAGTGAGCTTGCTTTGATTGGTGTTGTTTGTGTTGATGATAATTTGATAACGATAAT